GAGTTGCCACACTGTGAGAAGTGGTGTCTTAGTTAATAAGAAGCTGATGAATGATCAGTTTCACCTGTGGTCCACTGGAGCTGTGTTCATCTCTCTAGTAATTTCCCAGACTTTGCTACTTACTTGGAAATGTGGGGGCAATCTTTGAAAGCAGATTCCTCTGTAAAATTTCAGGAGGCTATGCAACTTGAAGCCATCAAAAAGTTGGAGTCTTTGTTTTATTGACCTTTCACAGCAAAACTTCTTTCCCCATATGCTCAGGATGAAACTCACAAATCCCCCTGACAACACCTCCCACTCCCCGCCCCACACCCCAATCACAAACTCAAAGACCATGTTGGGAGTTCTAGTCTGGTCCATCAACTTGGGTCCTGTCTGTCTGTGCAGATTTAGTTTTACTCTTTAAAACTCTCCTGACTGAAGCAGTTTATCTTTTCAGTTAGAAACCCACCATCACACTGGGCTTCCCCTGGGTAGAATTAGTGCCTGTAAATCTCTGATTACTGTCAAATTAAATTAGATGCCTCCCATTGCTGATCATTGATCACTGCCAATTCCTTAATTTCCCATTCATTTTCCCTCCACCCCATTTCAGTTGTTACAAATGAAGTTGATTAAATGGTTTTGTGCAAGCAAGAACGTCATTCCATCTTCAGTATTATCAGTACAGAGTTTACAAGTTTAGCGATGCTTACAAGTGAAGGCATTTAAAAATAGAGAGGGGCCTTTGTAGGATAGCTTCTCTAGGTGGGGCTGCCTAAGGTTCAGGGTTTTCACAAAGGGACTCTCAGAATCAGCAGAACTTGGGAACCAAGATGTCAGATGATGGGGGAGTGGACCCCTGGTGTGTTACTTTCCTGTTGCTGCTGTGATGTGTGGGCTTCCTAGGCGGCTCCAGGAGGCATGGGTTAGATCCCTGGGTCAGGAACACGCCCTGGAGGAAGGAGGCATGGCAACCCACTCCAGTATTCCGTCCTGGAGAATCCCATGGACAGAGGAGCCTGGTGGACTGCAGTCCATAGGGTCACACAGAGTCGGACACGACTGAAGCGCCTTAGCATGCACCCATACACGCTGTAATGCATTACCGCAAACTTGGTAACTTAAAACAATGGAAGTTTCTTCTCTCACAGTTGTGGAGGCCAGAAGTCCAGAGTCAATTTCACTGGACCAAAGTCAAGGTGTCAACAAGGCTGTGCTCCCTCCGATGGCTCTAGGTGGATCCGTCCTTCACCTCTCCCAGCTCCTGGTGGCTGTGTTATTCCATCCCTGCCATCTCTGCTCGCTTCACCTCTTGGACTTCTCTGTGTATTTGTGTGAAATCTCCCACTGCCTCTATTTTGTGGGGACACTTGTGGTGACCCTTGGCGCCACCCAGATAATGTAGGTTAATCTCATTTCAGCATCCTTCACTTTTTCCAAATAAGGTCACATTCACACGGTCTAGGGGTGGGGGCTTAATGTCTTTGGGTGGCCATTATATAACCTACTCCAGGCAATGAAAGAGCTAAATAAATTATCCTCCTAATAATTGTGTGCTTTGTTAAGAAAGGCAGATCATATTACTGCCGGGCTTTCAGACTGTTGTTTATTCACAGTACTTTTAAGAATTTCACTGCCAAAGGGTGTAATTTTTAAAACGTTGCAACATAGAGTTGAGCAGAGAGAATCTAATTGTACTTTTCAGCATTCCTCTTTCCACCTCCACAAGATGATGGATATATATTTGTGTGTATATATATGTGCATGTGTTATGCATATATACATATATTTTTTCACAAATGAGTACAGCTTTTAAAGCTTTTGGTTTTGTATATACTGAACTGGTAGACCAAACTACAGCCCACTTCTGTGGGCAGACAGCATCAGCCTCACATCGCCCTGGGATGTTGCAGGTTCCAATCTATCTGGTTCAGTGGCTGATTGTCCCCTCTTGGTCATATCTGTGGTTTAAGGGCCTGATAATCTCCATTAAAATGGTCGAAGGTGGTCAAAAGGTACAAACCTTCTGGTTGTAAGATAAGTCTGAAGGATGTAACGGGCAGCATGGTGACTGTAGTTAGCAATGAAAATGAAAGGAAGCGTTAGTCGCTCAGTCGTGTCCGACTCTTGCGACCCCATGGACTGTAGTCCGCCAGGCTCCTCTGTCCATCGAATTCTCCAGGCAAGCATACTAGAGTGGGCTGCCATTTCCTCCTCCAGTAGTTAGCAGTACCGTATTGTATATTTGAAAAGTTGCTAATACGGAAGATCATAGAAGTTCTTATCACACACACATAAGTTTATAACTATAGTGATGGATGTTTACCTGGTTTATTGTGGTAAACACTTCCCAATAGAGACATACACCAAATCCTTATGTTGCATACCTAAAACTAATACAATGTTATATGTCAATTATATCTCAAGTTTTTTTTTTTAAAGACTGTTCTAGAACAAATGATAAACTGTTTACAGCTAGATTAAGCTGTTTTCAGCTAGTTTTGCTTCAATGATTAAAAAAAAAAGGTCCCCTGATTTGCTTGGTTAGTAACCTGTTGGTCACTCATTGTTTATAAAGGATCGTGTGTGGCGGAGTGGGGAGTGGCCCCTGTGTTAAGGGGAGGGATTGGTGCTTTATTTTTTTTTTCCTTTTATTTTTATTTTATTTTTTAATTTTTTTAAATTTTTCCATTTATTTTTATTAGTTGGAGGCTAATTACTTTACATCATTGCCATTAAAAAGAATTCATTTGAATCAGTTCTAATGAGATGGATGAAACTGGAGCCCATTATATAGAGCGAAGTAAGCCAGAAAGATAAAGACCATTACAGTATACTAACACATATATATGGAATTTAGAAAGATGGTAATGACAACCCTATATGCAAAACAGAAAAAGAGACTCAGATGTATAGAACAGACTTGTGGACTCTGGGAGAAGGCGAGGGTGGGATGTTTCAAGAGAACAGCATCGAAACATGTATATTATCTAGGGATTGGTGCTTTAAATGGAATGGCGGGTGGTAGGTGTGGTGGGAGCATAAGACGGGAGTGTTAAAGAGACTTTCTGGAAGGAAGGTGGGACTGGAGTTAGTGTCTGAGGATTTGAAGGTGTAAAGAGGGTGGAGAGTGGCTGAACATGTGGTCAGGGGGAGTGAGGAGACCTGCTCTGGGGAGCTGGGAGTCTGGGCTGAACAGTGGCGGGGCTGGTGGAGAAGAAGCTTCAGTGCTGGGCTGAGGCCGTGGACCTTGCCCGACAGGCAGCAGAGAGCCCCCAAAGAGCTTTAAGCAAGAAATCAGAGTTCTAGACCCACTGATATCAAGGCAGGGCGGAGTGTGAATTCAAGGGGCCCGGATGAGTATCAAGGAAAAGAGGTCGGACATTGATGTCATAGTCCAGAGCAGCGGTGGCCAGGCTTTTATTTTTATCACAAAGTTGTCAAGAAAATAACGTTTGAAGCCAACACAATAGTGTAAATCAATTATCCTCCCATTAAAAAATTATAATTTGAGTGGGGGTTGCCAGGACCTGGGAGGACTCAGGGATAGAGGATTAGTGTTAAAAGAAAAGAAAAGAAAAGAACATTTGAGCCCCTTTGTACAGACATGTATCTGCCTGTCTGTTGTTCAGTCGCTCAGCCGTGTCTGACTCTTTGGACCCCATGGACTGCAGCACGCCAGGCCTCCCTGTCCTTCACCGTCTCCCGGAGTTCACCCAGCTTCATGGCCGTTGAGTTGGTGATGCCAGCCAACTCATCCTCAGCTCCCTCTTCTGTCTTCAGTCTTTTCCCAGCATCTGTCTGTCTATCATCTACTATTCCTTTATTAATTAATCTATATCACACTTTTGGACACTGAATGCATTATGAAGCAGTTATAAAATATAATTACAAGAAAAAAAAATAAGTAGAACATAACTCTAGTGTTCTGTCCTGCAGCCCAGTGGCTTGACAGCGTCGTAGAAGAATGTCCTTTGGGTTGCTAGAGTCTCACACGGAGACAGGGCATCTGAAGGCTGGGAGGCAAGGTCCCCAAGGAATCCAGCCTGGTGTGGGAACAGAGAGGAAGGGAAAGTGACAGAGGCAGTTAGCACAAGCGGGCGATGAGGTGTCACTGGCTGGTCACCTTGGAGAGGAGAGAAGACCTAAGTAAGAAGAAGTGGGCAAAACAGTGGTGTGCTTAAGGCTGGGTGAGTGAATTGGTGACAGCTAACGAAGGAGGGGTGGAGACTTGGGCAGAAGTCCTCTCTCCCCTTCATCCCTCCATCCTTACTTCCGTTCTCCTTTCCTTCCCTTCCTCCTTCCTTCCTTCCCTTTCTGCATAGCAGGAGGGTCTACACACGTGACGTGTTGATAGTGGGGGAAGTGGCCCAGGAGGGGTGTCCAGGCGGCGGCGGAGATGTGTCTCTGGAGCAGCGACATGTTGGGCCTGACTTGGGGCCAAGAGGACCTACGTCGTGATTCAGAGGCAAAGAGGTGACCCCTGGAAGCCAGGGACAGCCGGACCTGAGGGCCTGGTGCGGGGCAGAGAAGGGCAGGGAGGAAGGGCAGGGCTACCAGATCCCTGCGCATTGCACCCCTCAGCTCCCTAAGCACGCCCCAGAACCGAAGGTGGGGGCAGATTTGGCTGTTTCAGAAACGAAGGCCTGTGGGGACCCAACCTGGAGCCATTACGAGGTCTGAGCGGGGTGGGGCGGGGGCCAGGAGGGGCCTTGGCTGGAGGTGACCTTGCTGTTTTCTCCGCAGGATAAAGCACCAGGTGTGACACTGACTCTTCACTGAGCCTTCCAGACTTACTCGAGCTCGCCTGAGTGAATGTCATTCTCTTCCTTCGAGGTTGACTCTTCTGACCTTTGCTGATGTAACATTTTTCTTTTCTCCCTGGATGCTACTTCAGACCAGGTTCTGCTCCTGGTGCAGAGAGGAGCGATGTGTCTTCCTAGGGTTTTGTGGCTAGTCAGGTGGGTAAACTTCGCCTGCAGTGTCTAGTAACAGCCGCATTCCTGGTGTCTCCTTAGGTGGCCATCAAAGTCATTGACAAGAAGCGAGCCAAGAAAGACACCTACGTCACCAAAAACCTTCGGCGAGAGGGGCAGATCCAGCAGATGATCCGCCATCCCAACATCACCCAGCTCCTCGATATCTTAGAGACGGAGAACAGCTACTACCTGGTCATGGAGCTGTGCCCCGGGGGCAACCTGATGCATAAAATCTATGAGAAGAAGCGGCTGGAGGAGGCGGAAGCGCGCAGATACATCCGGCAGCTCATCTCTGCAGTGGAGCACCTGCATCGGGCCGGGGTGGTCCACAGGTAAGGGCTGCGCCGTGATGCTGGCCACCAACTCTGGGCTGGATGCCCAGCACCACGCTGCAGTGCAAGCCGCGCAGGTCTGAGTCCATCCTGGCTCTGTCCTTTGGATAGTTATGTGACCCTAGCCTGGTTAGTTAACCACTCTGAACCTCAGTCTCTTCTTCTGTAAAATGGGAGCAATCATGACACTCGTCTCACGGTTGGCATAAGGGGAAAGGAGTTGTTATATGGAAAGAACTTGGAACTGCGTTTGGTATGTAATAGGGCCATGTTAAGTGTTGGCTGCTCTTGTTATTATTATTTCCAAAATAATAAAAACTCATGCTCGATACTAGGATGGCATGAGATGGTTTTTGTTTTTTTTTTTTTTCATTTATTTTTATTAGTTAGAGGCTAATTACTTTACAATATTGTAGTGGTTTTTGCCATACATTTTAGCAATGCTTGATGGTGCTTTCCCTGTATTTGCTTTACATATGGTAGTTGCTCATAGCTGTTTTATACAATGGAATTGAATTACTATGTGAATTGTGAACTTGCCTTTGAAAGTAAGGCTTGTTCCCCATAAGCCAAACCAACCTTGCAAATAATTACGAAAAACTTTTTTTTTTTTTTTGGAATACCTTGTTCCCTCTTGAGGAGGAGTTTTGCAAGCAAACGGAATGGAGACAGAATTCTCAGCAGTGCTGCTGTTGGTGGTGGGGCCAACTTTCAGTGCTAGACTAAAATAAGGTCAACAGAGTATAGTAAAATTAAAAAAAATGAAAGTGCCCTCTTTTCCTCCCAAAAAACTGTTGACTTCATCAATAAATGCATAGTTCTTTCTTCATGGAATTATAATTCATAATTACTCTGGGTTACTGAGAAAAATTAGGGCTCATATTTAATTGATTCTCATTTTAAAAACCAAGATCAAGGAATTATATAGATATGCACACACACGTGTTTAAAATTTTTTGTATTGAGATACAGCTCACATCCCATTAGTTATCATTTTAAAGTGTACAATTCAGTCATTTTCAGTATATTCAGAGTTGTGCAACTATACCCACTGCCTTAATTCTAGAATATTTCCATCACCCCCAAAAAGAAGCCCGGTACCCACTGGCAGTCACTCTCCATTCCCACCCCTCCCACCACCCCCTGGTCATAACCACTAGTCTTCTTTCTGTCTCTCTGAATCTGCCTGTTCTGGATCATGCATATAAATGGGAACAATATATTGTCTTTTACAAGTGGCTTCCTTCACTTAACTTTACCAATGGGCTTGGCTCTGGGAATGCTCTGCCCTGTGCCTGAATCTGGGGCATAGCAGGGAGGTCTTGGTCGGGGGCGGGGGGGGGGGGGGGGCCGCGGGAGATGCTGAGGGGAAGTCCCAATCTTGGATTGGGGTTCATTGTGGGGAAGTCTCTGGTACAGGGGGGGACCCTGGGGGAAGGTCCCAGGCTGGGGGTGGGGGGACACAGTGGGGGAGGTCCTGGGCTGCTGGGGGGGGAACACATGGGGGAGGTCTCAGGCTCGGGAGGTGGGGGGGGACCCTGTCAGGGAGGTCCCAGGCTTTGGGGGGGACTGGGGGAAGGGGGAGGTCCCGGGCTGGGGGGGAACTGGGGGGAGGAGCCAGCCTTGACCAGGCCCCATTCAGGCAGATCATTTCCTCACCAAGGTAAGAAAATTTCTCCATGTATGTATTTTTAGTCACACACACTGTCAGGAAATCACGATTCATCAGAACTCTTTTGAGTTTTGATCAGCAAGGAAGGGAACATTAGGAAATTTTAAGTGAATAACCCTATTTTTGGCTCTTGTTAACAATCCCCTCGTGTAACCTGAGGTGTCAGAGCTCTGCCATGATGCGGGAAATGATGGTCGTGAGGATGCCTGGTTTGGTGATGAAGGCAGAAACCTCACGGGTGAATCAGCTTGGGTTACCCACTCTGCTGGTCATGGAGGAAAAGAGAACTGGGAAGGAGCTTTCTGAGGGACTCAGGATGTTGTTACAAGGGCTTCCTGCTGTCAAAAATCAGATGCGCCCAGTCTCGGAGCTTGGGGGACAACAAAGGGAAAGCCAGCGAAGGCTGTGCCCCGCTTGCTGGTCCCTCCCGCAGGAAATTCTCAGCAACCCTTTTAAAGTAATTTTAGCAAAATCCAATCCCTCTCAGCGCAATTACTGTCAGAACGTCAAAGGAATGCATTTAATAATGTTTTGATAGTATCAAGGGTGCACTTTTTCTCTCTCTGATCTCCAGCATTCTGCTTCGTTCCTTACCTCTTTGGAAATATATTCATCAGCCAATAGTGGCAAAGGCTCAGATCTTTTGAAGTTAGGGAAGGTTGGAAATACAGGTGTCGTTTTGGAGGAGTTCTTCATTTTCTCCTCTAAAAATCGCGTTAATGAGTGTCAGCGCACGTGGGCACAGGTGATTAGGTGGTGGAGACATCACAGGAAACTGTTTCGAATATATTCCTGGGTGGCTATATCCGGAATGTCTTGAATTTTCAAAGGTTTTGAATGTCTCATTTCTAAGCAGCCGTAATCCGTAATACACTGTAGCCGTCTTCAGTGGTGGAGAATTGGCTCCTTTATGCCGCAGAGGTGGAATGAATTCATAAATTATTTCAAGGGCTTCCCTAGTGGCTCAGATGTAAAGAATCTGCCTGCAATGTAGGAGGCCCAAGTTCGATCCCTGGGTTCAGAAGATCCCCTGGAGAAGGAAATGGCAACCCACTCCAGTATTCTTGCCTGGAGAATCCGATGGACAGAGGAGCCTGGCGGTTTACAGTCCATGGGGTTGCAAAGAGTTGGACATGACTGAGGGACTAACACACACGCAGATTCCGAGGTTAGAGTTTTCAAATGAGGAAGACAGTTTAGAATAGCATTTCAGAGACGTCCCGGTGTCCCTAGCGGGAAGATTTCTGAGCAAACAGATTGGATCATCCAAAAGGATTTAGGATGAATTTTGGTGGCTACATTATATAATTTAAAGGGCTTTAGAGGATGTGTGTTAGAGGATACTTTAAAAAGCATATTTCCTGATGAGTCTGATACCGTATCGTCATATCATCGTCAGCTTAATGCCTGGCAGAGCCCTTATTTCCTGTGAAATTAAATCTAAATATTTAATTATCAACCCAGAGCTATTTAAATATCATTTAAAGGAAGTGAATCTTTAAAAATCATGTAACTATTATAAGTAGAAGGGAAAAAAGAAAACCAAGCATCTATAAAGCAGATTTCCTTAGCTGGCAGAGGACTTCATTTAAAACTGAACCTGGAAAGAATTCATTTGAATCAGTTCTAATGAGATGGATGAAACTGGAGCCCATTATACAGAGCGAAGTAAGCCAGAAAGATAAAGACCATTACAGTATACTAACACATATATATGGAATTTAGAAAGATGGTAATGATAACCCTATATGCAAAACAGAAAAAGAGACTCAGATGTATAGAATAGACTTGTGGACTCTGTGGGAGAAGGCGAGGGTGGGATGTTTCAAGAGAACAGCATCGAAACATGTATATTATCTAGGGTGAAACAGATCACCAGCCCAGGTTGGATGCATGAGACAAGTGCTCTGACCTGGTGCACTGGGAAGACCCAGAGGGATCGGGTGGAGAGGGAGGTGGGAGGGGGGACTGGGATGGGGAATACATGTAAATCCATGGCTAATTCATTTCAATGTATGACAAAAACCACTGCAATGTTGTAAAGTAATTAGCCTCCAACTCATAAAAATAAATGGAAAAATAAATAAATAAAATTTAAAAAAAAAAAGAAAAAAAAACTGAACCTGGGCTTCCCTGGTGGCTCAGTAGTAAAGAATCTGCCTGCCGATGCAGGAGACATCAGTTTGAACCCTGATCTGGGAAGATCCCACATGCTGCGGAGCAACTAAGCCCTCAAGATGCAGCTGTTGAGCCTGTGTTCTAGAACCTGAGAGCCACAGCTACTGAGTCTGCTGCAGTGACTGAAGCCCAGGTACCCCAGAGGCTGGGCTCCCCAGCAAGAGAAGCCCCTTCAGTGAGAAGTCCACGCATCACAACTAGAGAGTTGTCTCCTCTTGACACAACCAGAGAAAAGCTCTCGCAGAAACGAAGGCCCAGCACAGCCAAAAATAAATGAAGATATAAAAAAAAGGACCTGCCATATACTGTTTGTGTCATCTGCTGCAACAGTATGGTTGTTCACTTTTGCAAAGCTAGAATGTGGTCCTCACATCTTCATTACACCCTCTGAGGACTGCCTGAGATAACTTTGGGCTTAACATCTAACAAGGGTTTCTTTTTTCCCATTTTTCTTTTTCTCAACTGGGCTCACGCCAACATCTGATGATTTTTCTATCATACAGAAAGCATTGGCCTTAACGTCCATCATCAGGAATGCTGATTCTGCCGAGAGGCTCATTTGAGATTCAACTGTTCGTTCAAAATAACAAAGTCCAATCAAGCCGTGCAGACAAAACATACCTGGGTGACGCAATACCGCCATCCCTCAGCAGGAAGAGACGAGCAGGACTGGGAGTGAGAAAGAGGCGTGATCAGAGGGACCTGGCGCCCGGGTGTCAGCCTGGCTGCTCCCAGAGCCGCGACCCCAGTCACTCGTCAGGGCTGGCAAGGGGCCTTCTGCACTCCGGGGAATGCCGGGCCAGAGGGGACCCTTTGTTCTCGTGGGCCTGACAAGAAGCAGACCCCACCTGTGCTGACGGGGTTTTACAAAGTTCTACCAAGTTCTTTTACCTTTTTGGTTTCCTTTGGAGAGGGTGAGAGGGGGATGGCGGATGAGAAAGGGGTGACTTCTGCTCACCTTGGGGGCTGGGGCTGTTGGAGAACCCAGGGCCCAAGCACACATCTGGAGACACTGGTTATATAGATCAAAGGTTCTTTCTTTTAATGGGGACTGAGAAAGCATGATAAGAAATGCAGGATTTCACAAAGCTCTCCCCCGACACGTTTGTGGATTGGGGTGCACTGTGGTCCGTGTGTGGACTCTAAGCCA